AATAATGGCTGCATTCCATTTAGGTGGTGCCCTGCTATTGTGCATGCTGGGTCACCAGCACACCTGAATGTGACAGAGTTGCCATTCATGTCATTAGCTGGAGCTGTGCCTTTCTGCTTTGACATGTCAGAATGTCCTGAAGAGATATTTTCCCATTGTAATCCAGTGGTTGAAAGTAACTAAGTACATGTACTCAGGTACTGTATTTAAGTACAATTATCTGCAGCTTTATACTTGCATTCCACTACAATTCAGAGGGAAATATTGTACTTTTTATTCAATGACTTTGCAGATTCACATTAAAAATACAAAAAATAAACAACAAATTGATTATGCTGCAATATTATAGATTAAGAAAAAAACTTTATTGATCTCTCGGGGGGAGCAGCTTTCAATACAATGCACTCCAATATAACATAATCACTAATTACAGGCTTAAAAATTACCCTAGATTTTAACCAACAATAGGATGTGTTGAAGGGCTTAAGAGTTGAATTGCATTAGTACAGTAGCAGTACAACACTGCATTTTTCACTTAGTGTCTGAGCAAAATCTGTAATGGACCAAAACATTGCAAACAAATAAAGTCACCATGGGAGCGTTATCTCTGTACAGATTCTTCTTTCGCTGTTCACTTGGGGAATTTAAGCCATTTCTGTCTAAGTATGAAGTCTACCACCAGAGTGCGACTCCATCACCTTCCCTCCCCAGTTGGCTGCAGTGCGTCACCACAGACAGTTGTTGCTCATGGATGCTTTAACAGCCCTGCAGTAATGAAATCTGAGTGCCTGCCTGTTGTGGCAGGATGACCTCACCTTGAACAGCCAACCTGCTGCAGCCAAATGAGTATAATGAGGTGTCTGTCATGGTTGTATGGACGTAAGTTGTTGAGTTAGAGTTAAGAGTTCTTGGAAAGGCAGCATGAAAAAAGCCAATTTTATCTGACACAATAACAACTTGATAAATAATTATTGGAAAAGCTATTATATTTTTCTCATTGATTTTCTGTTTTCTGATAGTATCAGTACAAATACATTATCTGCAGATTACATTTTATACCATGCAACATTTAAGCACAATTTATCAAACTGACTGCTGTTTTCGTTAGGTTTCCCCAGGGTAAAGACACCTCAGGAGGAAACAACCCAGGTGGGACTTGAACCCACAATCCCCAGCTCCGGAGGCTGATGCCTTATCCATTAGGCCACTGGGTCAAGCACAAGATTGAACTCCTATTACAATTCACAGAAATCCTCTGTGTGGTAAATACAGTAAATATATTAGGGAAGATTATTCAGTTTTCTTGTAATCCCAAGAAATGTAATATGACAGATAAAAGAAAGTCCATGAAAAAGCAATTTTTTGTCTCCACACACCAAATAATTACTCAGTGATCTGAACATAGCAAGGGATCGAAACATAGGAAAACAATGCTTTTCACTATATATCGAGAGCACAAAAAACATAATTACAATTCTGCCTGGGCTTAAACATGTCCAAGTTAAAATTATGCTTTTGTCTGTAAATATAAAATATAAAAATGTTGTGCTGCTCTTCAAGGAGAGAGGCTTTAGTCTCCAAATTCATTAGGAAATACAAAAATGCAAAAATAGTGTGTATAGAAAAAAGGGAATGCCTGTGATTCAGAGAGGGAATAATGAATGCAGTATTAGGGCAAAAATAATGTTTTGTTTTATCAATCTGAGTCAGACCTGTAAAGACAGGCTTGTTTTTTTTTTTAACTTTTCTCTTTAAAATTTTCATTTTAGATTTAATAGAGAAAACGTTCTCGCTCTCTCTCTTTATTTCTCTCTCTTTCTCTCTCTGACTCACACACCACCCTGGGAGCTCCACTGATATTGTCTGGGAGAGTTAACTCAGTCAGACCAGACCGTGTTGTTGTGCGACATCCATCACATCCATCAGCACCCGTACCGCCCAGACTCCTCATTTTCCACTCAGGTATAATTTTTCATGACCACCTTTTGCTGAATTTGATTTCTTAAATGCAGAAGGAGTGACATGATACAGTACAGTATGCAGTCTGTCTGTTTGTCTGTTTGGTCAACAACTTTATTGTAGACTGTAATGGAGATTAACCTTGTTGCATGGGATAAATTAAGTAATTAGAGAATGTTAATGTAAAATTTCTAATTCATTATTGTACTTAATAATTGCAGTAATGACCTCATAACTACAGTAAAAGTAACATAACATAATCTAACATAAAAATATAATATATAATTGTTGTCTGAGTCTGAATCTTAGTGTGACTTTAAACCAACGCTGGCAATTACTCACCACTTCCCCGTATAAATATCAACTTATTTATTCTTAATTGGGGTGACAGTGATCCTCTCTGCAACATTTATTAATATCCTCCACATTTAACCATGTTATCAAGTCTGAAAGTCAAGTAAACTTCACTGTTTGAAATGTGTATTGTCTTCGTATTTAGACCTCTTCAAATCAGGTTCATTTCATAAATATAGTTCATCACAATTAAACTTCATGTAATTACATTTTGCATACTGTTTTACAAGCTGTTACTTATGTTAGTGAGAAAAAAATTAGTTCACACAAAATCCAGTGACTGGAAAAATGTATCCAACCAGGTTGTTAACCTGCTCTCAGTGGTGGACTGCAAAAGTGAAATCTTTCTAGGAAGTCTTTTCAGCTCGTAAATAAACAACATAAACAACACAACAGGAATCGTAACATGGATAGAAAGCAGAAATTTATATTTAAGTTATAATACCTGTCGAGTTTTTGTAATGTTTATTTACATATGTATATATATATATATATATATATACTATGTATATATTACATATTTTTTTATTACATATTTTGCTTCTTTCTTCCTCTCTGCCACACACGTAGTCCCCCTTACCCCCATCCCAACTTTCAAATACACGCTCACATTACCCACACCTATCCTACTAATTTCTACTTCCTCATCATTACATACATAATTGTAATCATTGTTTTTGTCTTATTGTATGTTTGTATTATTGTAATATAATATTATTCTTGTCTACCCGTTAAGTCTATCTTGTATATCTTCTATGTCAATATGAATATGTCACCAATTTACTATATATATTATGTACAGTGGCCCAATAAGGAATGCACCTGTTTTAATTTGACAAAAAATAATAGAAAAGAAAAATAAGAAAAGAGAGAAAGAAAGCTAATTAATTTTTTTTATTATCATTTGATTGACCAAGAAATATATCAATTTATTCAACAAATAAGGTAGGTGGCAGAAGGTTTATCTTAAATTCATGATAAGAATGAGCCACTACTACTACTGTTGAGCCACTGCAGCGACATTATGGATGTAAGTAAGTAAGTAAGTAACAAACGGGAGCGCGGACATCTTTGCTGTCCCGACACCCTCTTCCTCCCCGAGGCAGCCAATCAAGCAGCGAGGAGGACGGGAGGACAGCGCTGATTGCTGCCTCCACAGGAAGCTTCATCCAGAAGGTCCAACATGTTACCCATCATCCTCCCGCTGCGCCAGTAGAGCCGAGATCATATAATAATATACTATAGTATATAATATATGTCTAATATTTAATTAACGAACATATATATATATATGTCTATTTGGAGCATAGATCAGGGGAAGACTGTGACCTTTTGGGACACTTAATAATTAATTCATCTGCCTGCCCATGTTGCATGGACAGCTCATGGCAGTCACATAGTTATAAATCCAACAAAAAGGTGATAGGGCCTTTTGTGTGGCTGGCTCCCCGGGACTGTGGACCATTACCCTTCAGATATTAGACACGTCCCTCATTTTCTCACCTTTAAATCTAGATTAAAAACTCACCTCTATCCTAGTTTCCTAGTTCCCCTAATCCCTTTTATTTCTTGTGTCTTGTGTGTCTGTGTTGTAGGTTTCCTGTCCTGTTTTGGTTTTAACATTCATTTATTTATTTATTATTTATTATTTATTTATTATTTATTATTTATTATTATTTTTTTTCACATTTGTTTATTTTCCAAATTTGTTTTATTTTATTGAATGCTTGACTTTTTATTATTTTATTATTTCTGTACATCACTATTGTCAGCTTGATAGCCTGGCTGTTTAAATAGCTGCTTTATAAATAAA